CTACTTACACTGCAACCTGTTTCACAGCGTCTCACCTCCGCCACGCCCCCCCCCAAACACCGGTGAGCAGAGGTGAAACCCTGGGAACGAGGTTGCCTACACTGCTGAAAAACGTTTCCCCCATTATAATTTTAAAAGTTCTTATTACTATTTTAAAATAAGATCTAGACAGTTTATTCCTTTAAAAGCTAACCGGCTTCCAAACAATCGATGCCTGTACTCTCACCAACCATTAAACGGATATTTTCCATTTTATAGGGGAGGATTTATTTGTTCTCTTAAATAATTTCAACAACAAAGTCTACGCCGACGGCAAAGAGATACCAAAACTCGCGTTATTGCTGTCTCTATTGTACTCGACCAATTTCCAGAAGCTTTTCTGCTCGGCTCAATCCGAGGAAAGCTGGTAACGAATAAAAAGTTTTACGAAACAAATAGCTAGCTTGCCGCAGATTCGCGTTGCTTTTGGATTGATTAACTTTGCATAATTAATGTATTTTCAATTCCCAACTGTGGAAGAATGTGATTTCGACAAGCAATTTTTATTTAACGAGAATGTGGCCACTTATCATGATTTAAAAAAGGTGTCATTCAAATGATAAGTAACAGCTCTTTCGTCCTGTCGTTAAAAATGGATTGTTTAGCAGAGTTGATGATGCGCGACAGCCTGTTGATTTTCCATTCAAATACTACAGCAAGAACGCACGGTGACTAACTATAGCTTTACTTTTTATAGCTGTATTATATTTTACAAGTGGTAGTTCTATAAATTGTGTGTAGCTAGCAATTTGCACTTGAAATTTAAGTTTAATTGATTGACATTTGTTGTTAATTTGACAACATATATATAAATTCAGCCAACATAGAAGCTGATGATTTAAAGGCACAGTTCAGCATGTATGCATGTACACATTCAATAACCATGTTGGCGAGTTGCTTATTTCGCAGCGAAGAAAACACACAACACCCTGTGGAGCGCTATTTTAGAACTTAGCGCCATTATTCTTTTTTTGCGCCATGGCTATTTCAGAATGGCAAAAGTGCACTCACCCTGTGATGCTGCGATGCAGCCTCCCTTCGAAGGCCAATGCATTTATACACCCAAACGTCTTGTCCAATGCTTGTGGTTTTGTGTGGCGTCGCGAATTTATTGTATTAATTAGTTGTGCCCCTATCAATCTCAACATGAGCTCGACCTTTAATTTCAATTTACTATATGAGTAACTATAATTAAACACGTCCTAATTTCTCCTAATTACACACGTCCTATGTAATTCATAATTAAACACGTCCTATGTAATCGTCCTAATTAAACACGACCTATGTAATTCATTTGGATCGTTTTTCGCGAAGCTTTATAAACAAGCAATATAGACATCGTCACACAAGCAATATAGACATCGTCACACATGTTTATCCCAAGACAACCTTTCGTCCATAGTCACGCCAAGGCATGAATATTTATTAATCCTGGGTACTAGCTTATTATTAATTAAAATAGGATTACCAGATACTTTATTCTTAAGGTTATAGGGAGATCCAATGAACATATGTTTCGATTTACTGGGGTGGATTTGAAGTTTATTGTGTATCATCCATTTGCGTATGTTTTCGATATCAATATTTACCTTGTCGACAAGGTCGGCGCAGTCATTAGAAGATGCATAAATTTCCGTGTCATCAGCATAGAGTGAAGGAGTTAAGTGACTTAACGAGTCAGGCAAATCATTTATGTATAATAAAAATAATAGAGGACCAAAGATGGACCCCTGTGGAACTCCGCATATTATCTTTTTTGGGCTCGATAGTTGTCCGTTTATAAGACATTGTTGAACTCTGTTATTCAGGTATGATTCGAACCATCTTAGTTGGGTTCCTGTTACTCCGAAAAAATTACGCATTTTATCAATCAGAATTTCATGATTTATGGAGTCGAAGGCTTTTCTAACACTTTTACTGTTTTAGTGCCATGTTAGGCTACTTTTTGAAAAATAAAAAAGGGCTAAAAATGGGGAAACAATGGGAAAACAGTTAAGGTTTTTTTCACTGAAAATTATTTACTTTTCATTATTTATAAAGCATTATTTGCATGACCTAATTACAAGTATATTGCTAAGCGTAATATAAGTAAAGTTATCAGTACATGCAAACTACTTTAGCTAACTTAATAACAAAAGTTTTAGTGCTTTATATACAGCCAATTCAAAGAAGGTGCATGTTCTTTGCAAACTTTAGACTCTAAACCTTAAAGGTGATCTACAGTTCGATCTGCGCATGTGCACAAATGACCCCACTTTTTATGATACAAACAGGTTAACTATGTTTTGATTTCTTGAAAAGCCTGATTGTTGTTTCTTGATCATTTATTATACTCTAGAAGCTTGAAAATATAAATAGGTGTCGAATAAAGCTCAATATTTTGGACACAAAAATGTAAACAAAGGCTTTGTTTACATACGGACTGTAGATCACCTTTAAACCTTAAACTTTAAATTTTTTATATACTCATGAATTGACAGTATTCCCGTATTTCGTAGACAAAACAGGGGCCGGTTGTACGAAGGCCGGATAGCGCTATCCACCGGATAGTGATTTTTTCAAGCTTTCTTAAATCAGTCGTTGATTGGTATAACTCATATTAAAGTTTAGTATTTATAAGTTAAATGTTTTTTATTCTTCTTGTGTCGTCTATATCCGTAGTTTCATAGTTTTTCAAGCATTTTACGAAGGTTGAATGGTGGATAGCGCTATCGTTATCCGACCTTCGTACAACCGGCCCCATGAGGTGCTTGTTAACTTTAATTCTATGAAGGGTTTTAGAAGGACAAACGGCCTGGTAATTTTTCATATCATGCAAAAACCGAATTCAATAATTTTTAAACATACGTACTCCACTTCCGACAGACCACTGCATGTAAAAAGCAGAATAAGCGTGCGTAATGCTACGCCAAATTAGTTAGAGGTTAGGGTTGGGGGTTAGCCTTGTAGGATTGGAGTTTGAGTTAGTGTTAAAAAATTGCTTTCCATGCATTTCCGTATACTTTTCTCCACCATGCTATTCTGCACGGCCATTTCGCCTTTCACATTCGCCCACTTATGACAAGTACCACTTCATGACGGCGGTGTTCAACCACATAATGTTGGCTTGCATTCACAGGAAAAGCTCATGAAAGAAAGCATATAGCCAATATGAATTTATTAAAAGCGTTCTTGTTTAATAGTTTTCTGGGCTTACTTCTATTGCATGCATCGTAACCAAAACTACTTGTGTATAAATCTTGGAATTGAAATACAATGGTGAGATAGACTAATAGTCTATAAAATTATTCTCATTGTGTTACTTGTCATTCATTTTTTCGGCTAAAACTGCTCTGCCCAAGAATTCAGGAAATAGCATACTTCTATAACTAGAAACTATAAAAAAAGTTCTAGACGACCCCAGGCTCCCCTACAGGTTCCTCCTGCCGTTGGCGCCAGGCTCGGTAAACCAACAACCCTAGCCACTATATATCTGTGCAGAATGGCATGTTTAAGTCATTTTCAAACTCTAACTTAAACCTCCGTCTTATAGCCTAACCTCGATGCTAACCCATTCCACACTCATTCATTCAGCATGCCATTCTACACGTAAGCTTGTTCAGCCTTTTACATTTACCTATCATAAGTGGAGAATATTAGCGTATAAATAAGCGTCCGTTATCGTAGTCTGCATGGTATTACCAACGATCTTAATAATGTATACATGCTTTAAAGTGCGACTAACCCCAAATATAATTTTTGATAATACTTGGGTCATTCTATGAAGAAATGTAATTAATTATCTTTATAGTAAAAACCTCATCTTGTATCAACTTTTTCACTGTCAAACTTTCCGGATATCATGTCATTAGGTGAATTTTTGGTACAAAAAACAAAGAAAAACTAGTAATTTGCAATTTACCTAATGACATCATATCCGCTAACTTTGGGCAGTGAAAAAGTTGACAAGATGATTTCGTCTTCGAATGACCCAAATATTACTACAAACACTTTTTTATTATGCACCTGATCATGTTGGGCCAAGAATGTTTGTAATTCTTGGAATTGGACTACAATTGTGAGGTAGACCATATATACAGAGTCACTGTCTCTCAATGATTCCTTGTAAAAATTGCTCCAAAAAGGCAGGAAACAGCGTTCCTAAATCTAAAGAAATAAATAGAGGATATTACACGGCGACGCGAAGATATGACTGTTATCTTCGAGTGGTGAAAACAATACTTACGAACGAGCGCAACGAGTGAGTAAAATATTGTTTTTAACACAAGAAGATAAAAGTCATCTTCAACTTCAAGCCACCGTGTAATGTTCTGTTTATTATATGATCCTAAAAAAAATGAAATTTCACGCTCAAAAGCAAATTGTCAAATTGTCACGTGATTGATATCTTCACTAGTGAAGATATGGAAAATATCCAACTGTCAGTATTTTTCAGTATCTCACGCTCAACTATATAATAAAAGGATAAAACGTCAGTGTGGAAATGTGTGGAATTTGATTTTGAGAGTTGGGAATGTTACAACGGGAGAGCGACTGAGGTCTGGATGATTTCTAAATGTCCACCAGGCTGGACCCTGTAGAGGACTTCATTCCGGTAATAGGAGTGACAGGCGAGACGTATTGGAATAAGTATTGTGCTTTCTGTAATGGCGTGGAAAATTAGACTGCATCGGATTTTGAAGTTATACATACGTCATACCCCCAATGAATTCGACCTGGATTCTAAGCTGAAGTTTATCATGGACAACGGAGGAGATATTTCGTATGTTCGACGTGGTGCTGAACAACGTTGGAGGTCCTGTTTTGGACAAAATCTTATAATAGACTGTTTCTTTACGAGGAATCCATCGTACACGGCGTGTGTCGAAGGGCCTGTTGAGGTCGTTGGGACTGGGCCCCTTTACTTTAAAAACCGAGCATGCGCAAAATGTAATGGATATCCCAAGATAAATTCGTTTCAGCTATTGAAGAAGCTTGTAGAAGCAAACTACCACCCCAAAGCTTTTCTGTTGTGTTTGACTTAACAAAGCCGAGTGAAATAGTAAAAATTACTCCTCACTGTCCGCCCGATGCTATTTATGATACAACCCTAAAGTTCTGTCGCGAAGGTTATCATATTCCATCCAGTGGTAAACTAACCATCGAGTTTATAATACTATTATGGTTTAAACCGTCTCGAGGAGGGCCAGTACTTGATCCAAAGTTGGAAAAGAATTTAATCGGTGTTAATAATTGGTGTTAATTTCTCGGTTTTCGTTTCAAGACAATCAAATTTCACGAATTACATTCCATAGGCAAAGCCGTGCTTTATCGAGTTTCGACACTGTTTCAGTCGTTGCAACATTTCGTTTAACATTGACTCCATTTCAAAGCTTACTAATGGCTAACCAACACAAGTCCATCTTAAATGTTACAAACCAGAACACTGCCTTCTTGGAACTTTTGAATTTTACAGGAAACTTAACCTTATCTTGGAAAGAAATTACTTTTTTGTCGTCAAGATGACTTCGAAACAGCTTTCATACTACAACGAAAAGAAGCTTCAATCACATGAATACAAAATCAATAAAAATAATCGAAGCTTGGTCGTAAATAAAAGAGGAAAAATATTTTCACTTGAGGATTATACTTTAATTAAGGAAGACGGCGGAAATGTTAAATTATGTCGCAAACTGCCGCTTTCAGATTGCAACGAAGGTGCATTTGTGCCTTTAAATCCAGACGAATACGTATGGTCTTCCCTTATTTTACAGTTTATCACAATGCAACAGAGAGCGTTTTCAATTTTTGGGGAGTATCTAATGAGTGAAAACAAAGGGACTAAGAACACTTCTAATATAACTCAAAATTTTACTTTGTCAAGTAATTCAACGATTTCCGTTTGTTTACCGTTTACAAATAACTTTACCACTGGTTTCAGTGTTTCGATTATTTGTTTAATTTTACTTTTGATAACTTATGGGTTATTCCAAGAATTAAGAACAGTTCCAGGAATGAATTTAATGAACTTAAGCTTGTCAATGTCGCTGTCACATCTCGTATGGTTGATAGGCACCCGTCATTTTACGGGGACAAAAACCTGTAAAATTTTGGGAATTTTTGAACACTATATTTTTCAAGTATCGTTCGCAGCAACGTCCGTCATCTCCTACCATTCGTACTACGTTTTCTCGCAACCTTTTGCTGGAAGAATTGCCAACAAATATTAGCGGAAGTTTATCATGTATTCAGCATTCGTGTGGCTAGCGCCTGCCATATTTGTGGCAATTTGTGTCTCCTTGGACAAAACTGAAACAATCCTGGTAAACTATGGTACAAAGTACAAACTGTTGGTTGGGAACTGGAAATGCTAAGCTGTATGTATTCCTATTAGCTCTGGCTATATTACTGTTCTTTAATATCGCCAATTTCATCCGTACAGCACTCAGTTTATATCGTCATGAGAAGGAAAGACCCCAGACCTTACAACGCAAGGAAAGGAAACAAAATCTTCTCATCTGCACAAAACTTGCAACGCTGGTCGGTTTTCCCTGGCTGATTGCATTTATTGCTGTGCTGTTTCCCAATGTCGAAACATTCGAATACTTGTTTGTTGTTTTTGTTTGTTTACAAGGATTGTAAATTGGAACGGCGTTTCTGTTTAACAAAAAATCTCTAAATCTTTATAAAAATCGGTGGAACATTGGCTCCAGAGGTAATGCACCTTCTTATACCCCTGCGCAAACTTTTGAAATGACATAACGAAATTCGTTTTACAGAAGTCCAATTTACATTATAAAAGTTTCTTATATAAACAAATTAGATTTACTGACTTTGTAGATTTACATAATATGGGAAATATATAATCAGTTTCACTCCTTTAGTTTGTGGAAACACCACGTGAACAAAGCTGATATTGAAATTAAATTAAATTTCCAATCAAATTAGGGACCGGTCATAAAGTATTGTAATTGCTAGAGAGGGGTGGAGGATAAATGAAATTTCAAGTACATATTTCCATACCCTCCCAAAAATTTATGAAATAATTTTGTGACCCCCTTCAATGTAAGTGCAAATTTTCATACCCCCTCTTCAAACATTAATTCTGTTTTAACATTTATCATGCGTTTATCTATGTTTTGAAACTCTCCAGTTTGTGATAACTTCTCTCACTTCTTGTGGTGGTAACTATATCCTCGACATTTTCCGCAGTCTCCGATTCGTCACCAGTCTTTTCTGTTTCTGATTCTGACATACTAGCGATGGCCTGAGAGTAAGAACTGAAAAATTTGTTTTTGGTTTATTTCAAACAGAAAAAATTGGCTTCCATTCAATGTGACACTTCCTCGTCAGGTTCGAATGGTGTGACCATGTGAGCTTGCTAACATTGACAATTCAGATGTATCAGATTTGTACTCCAAAAGTTCCACGGATACAGAATCCTACTTATCATCTGATATTGAGTCAGACTGAAACATATATACTTTGTGTTGATTTAATAATAATTATAGGAAAACAATTCTTTCCAAACTTAAATCTTCATGGCATAAATACATTCAATATTAAGGGAATAAGGGAATAGATTTTCTCTGTTTCAATGAATACTGAATAGTAATATCGATGCTTAGTTGCCAAAAAAGTTCCAAAGCAAAAAACTTACCCAATCCCGAGAAAATGGCCAAATGGGTGATCAATGATTATCCTCTATTAAATTGTATTACAGCAAAAAAATGGGAAATTGTGTATTCAAATACAATAAAAAATGACTTGCATTATCGGAAAACGTACAAAAACCGCATATAAGACTTTTAAACAGTTTTTTGATTCTTCAAATAGTCTTTGAGTTACTCGGCTGTTTTAAATGTGAAAATTGGACCAAAATATCGCAATAATAGGTAAAAAAGTTTTTGACTTTTCAATGGTTGGCCGGTCAGCAAAATGTTCACCAAAAAAGCATTCCTCTTTGGTACCACCCCCGCCATAAATAATGACTTGTCCCTAATGAGAATCTTAATGATTTCTGACACTCAATTTGAAATTTGGTCAATTAGCATGTGCTATGCATGGACACATACATGCAGACATGGTTGTTATAAGACCTGGTTAGGAAGCACGGCAAACTTCAAAAAAATTACTGTATAAACAAACATGGAGGTTGAAGAGTCAGTTTGACCCTGCACATATTGGTTGTAATCAATGAGAACTGACCAACCGATGTAACACAAACATTCTCCATCGAAAAATGATGGTAATACTTCGTTATTTGCAAAATTTGCCGTAAGATATATCCCAGTTAGGCAAAACAATCACTTGGTACCCATTACCTTCGCCAAGCTTTCTGAACTGACTATTGTCAAACATAGAAAGACAAAGGATTTTTCAACCGTGACCCTGCACATGGTACACAATCACCTATAAAACAAAGGGTTTCCAAACCATCTCATATGTATTAACTATGATGCAGACAGCACCTTTTGAATGATCTATTTAATGGCTGAGCAGTCACGTACATAACTAGTCTAACGTATATAACTTCGGCGAAGGCGAAGCAATCTTTTCAAACCTGTCAGAAGGATTCAAATACTACGGCAAGGACGCACGGTAGCTAACTAGCTTTACTTTTTATAGCTGTATTGTACTTTACAAACTGTTGTTCTATAAATTGTGTGAAGTGTAGCTAGTAATTTGCACACGAAGTTCAAGTTTAATTGACAACATTTGTTGTTAATTTGACAACATTTGTATATAAATTTGCCAATATAGAACTAATAGAAGCTGATAATTTAAGCTCCAATGATGAGAGTTAAAGAGAGTTGATGAGAGTTATTGCTCGTTGGAATTCGCTATAAATACCCAGCCAATTCTCATCAACTCTCACTCAATTCTTGTTCTAGATCTCGAATAACTGAAGCATGAAAATTGATATTCTCATGCAAACTCTCGATTCTCAACTCCCATACAGAGGTCTCACTAAATGCCACACAGAGTCGGAGGTCTCACTTCTTATTAATTTCGGCGTAAGGGATTTTTCCAGTCCGCCATGTTCTTATAGCAAGTGTCCTAAAGAGAAGCTGTCACCCCCCTGTAAACATATTGAAACTTAATGTTCCAGGGGGTGCATTAATGTCTCTTTTTATGGCACTTGCTAAGACCATGGCCGCCAGATATGCACAGTAAAAACTATACTTCACGTTTTTCTCGCGAAGTGAGACCTCTGTATGTTTAGTACACTGCATGTGGCTCTATACTAGAGGTCGCCATCAACCTATTTGAATGGGCTTTCTGAATGATCTTTCTGCTGATCATAACAATAAAAGACAATGAACATAGAAATTACCTTTCTAAAGAACTAGTCATAATCACTATTGTTTTATTAAGCCAGTCGCAAGATACGATCAGTTTAGGTTGGTGCTGATTTGCTACCATGCCACTGTAGTTTAGACCATTTTGCGTCACCATAAAATATCTTGTGTTCGGACGTGAAATACTGTGTAGATGCGGCGAAATAAAAAAACATTCAATAGCATGATATAGAAAATGTTTTGTCAAATTGGTAGCAGATTGCGACTATGTATAAAACGAGAACAATTTCACTCGTTCATAATACATATACAATACCTGCTCACCTGTTTCAGAGCTGACTCAGCCTTCTTATACCTAATTGTTAGACCAGTACACAAATAAACCAAAGCAGTCTAAGCAGTGCAACCCTTTCTAAAGACTTTTATAAGAACAAAAAGGCTCCATATTACAGGACATGCATCAGTAAACATGAAATTTGCTTCTTTCTTCCTTTCGTAATTTGAAATTTTCTTCATATTTCCTTCTATTTTGGATTTCCAGTTAAGAGTTGAATGTTTTATACAACCGTCCCCAGAGCTTTAGTAAAGAGAGAGAACGCCAAAGAAAAACAGTATGCTATTGCGATACTTGACTTTGCAAATCAATATTTTTGCTCGCGGTTTGGGCATGACACAAGCATGCCCTCTTGATCTAAAATCACCATTCTTCAATAAAACACTCCTGTGAATTATGTGAAACTTTCTTTTTTTGTCGCATTTTAATGTAACGTTAAAAAAATTATTTATTTTAATCTTAAATTTTAACAAACGATTTTTTTTGTCTGACAATGAACATTATATTAACAATTACAGAATATAACTGACATATTGATTTCTGTTTTTTTCTCTAAGTCTCTTCAGTAAAAGTTATATACTTGTATAATTTGGTTATATAGTATAATATGAATAATACTCTTTTTTCTTGAATTATATTAAGCTTAATTGCATGGCGATCTAACATATAATAGTTTTGTTTGTGGAAACACCATGTAAATTTATTACTGCAAAGCTTTCGATCCATAAGCCCGGATCTTCATCAGTGCTAATAATATATGACTTGTAAAATTCACATGCCCTTTTTATATACAAAAGTGTCGTGATTTGTTGGCTCGCGTCAACATGAATTGACGTGTTTGAAATGACGTGGTTGATGTACCGTTTAACTAAATTTCAAATGACGCGAGGCAACAGATCACGACACTGCTGTATATAAAAAGGGCGTGTGAATTGAACCAGTCACATATCATCACAGAGTAGATACATATACAGAGTTATAACTAGTGTACTCACCTTTTTTGTGCGCATGCTCGGCGAGTTACTAGATGCATGCATCTGATTGGATGACAACTCGCTTTAACTGCTCGTGGAACTTGCCGAGCACGCGCAGTTGATTATTTTTTGCCCGGTTGTCTGAAAAAAAGTGGGTTCATGAAAACGTAAGTTTCAGCAGTGTATACGACGGTTAGTTACAGTTCTGTATGTATTTCCTCTGTGATATTATTAGAATTGATTAAGATCTGGGCTTACGGATCGAAAGCTTTGCATTAATAAATTTAAATGGTGTTTTCAGAAACAAAACTATTATAATTATATTAAGCTTGAGGAGGTGGTACTTCTTCAATCACAATACGAGACATGGAATTAAAACCAGTTACACCATCTCCGAGATTATAACCCTGACACTTGCCTATCCAGAACCCCACACGTATGTGACCTTTAGGAACTTGGTTGCAGTAGCCTTCAATATAGCGGTGACGAAGGGGGTTGACATGGGATGATTGAACGTAAACAACTCCTTCAATAGTCGCTGGTTTTGTAAATTCTGCGCCATCAAATGTAAAATACCACCGATTGCAAACAACACTGCCATCTGAACGCAAGTTTCCTGCGTAAAACACGCGGAGTGAGGTGTTGTCGTATTTCTTGTTGAAAATACAGTTCTATATGCATGAACAGAACAGACAAAAGGTAATTGGGATAAGCATAAGGTTAAGATTACGTTTAGGGAAAGGATTAGAGCAGCCTTTAAATGACAAGATTATATTAGGCTTACATTAGATTAGGCTTAGGATTGGATTAGGGTAAGGATCAGATTAGGGTTGGGATTAGAATATGGTAAGGTTTAGATTAGGCTTCGAAGGGTTCGAATAGATTAGGTTAAAGGCAAGGATTAGATTAGAGTTTGGATTACATTAGGATTGGATCCCAGTTAGGATCAGATTAGGATAAGATACGGGTTAAGGTTAGGATGTTGGTTTTGAGTGTGGTTAGTTTGGGAATAATTTAACGATTAGCTGAAAAGTTTAGGATTAGAACTAAGTGGGATTATATAATTTTTTGTTTGTGGAAACACCACGTAAATTTATTACTGCAAAGCTTTCGTTAGGACCAAAATTAAGGCAAGCCGTAAGGATTATGATTAGACTAGGATTACGCAAGGGTTACAATTATTAGATTAGGGACTATGATTGTCTTCGTCGACGTTTTCAAACTGCCCGGAAAATGAGCCAAGTGTGAATTAAACATTTAAACTTTGCTACCAAAGTAGGTCGTAAAAATATCTTTCCTAACTCATTAATTAACAGTAGCAACTAGAGGATGATGTCGTCCTACAGGACACTAAAGTACTAGAACTTTAAAATCAGTTTCATATAGAATAATATGAAACTGGTTTTTCGTATCTCTGAGGATGATTCTGCAATAGAATTTAAAATCAGATTTTAAATAAAACTATGTAATTATAAATTAAAACGTTTGACGGAATTCAGTTCAAATACTCTACTTCGGCCTTAGCAGTATTTCAAAATCTCTGTGCATTAATAAGGCTCGCCTGCCATTCTTTTTTAAGGCACTCGGACTAATTTGAAATCCCAGTCACCTCTGTATCGTATTTGAACTGTTCCTTAATTAAATAATTGTAACCCTTAATTTCTGAAACCTGTATCAAGCCAGTGTCTTTGTTATCCTGTCTCTTCCAAGCACATTGTTTCCAATTTGACTTCACCAGATCTGCGTAATCATCTCCTCTCTCGCCAGGCCCCCCTTTCGCTCCCACAGGACCACGTGATCCGGGTATACCATCTCTTCCGGGATTTCCCGGAATTCCAGGGATACCTGGAATACCAGCAGAACCACAGGTCACCTCAGAAGACTAATAAAAAATAACAAAGATTTGTTAAGGCCATAATAACACAATTAGCAATACAAGATGGTCCTTATACTGGACGTTGAACGAAAACAGCTTCGACACAAATCAAATAGCTATCAAACGTCTACTATAAATAATAGAAATGAGTTTGGTTAATTACCGTATTTACTCGTCTGAGCGCCGCGGCGCTCCGAGTTAAATTTTCAGAGCTTCAGATGCGGCGCTCAATCGGGGGAGGCTCTCGTTTAAAAATCTTCTATTTGTGAACTATAACAAGAACTCTTAACAATAAAATATACAAGTTTTAAATGTCTTTGTCACTAAATGTCCCCATTTTGACGGCGGAAAGTTTTTACACTGTTTACAAGTTTACAAAATATCAATGTCACTGTCCTCTTCGTGATCCGAGTACAACTGCTGCAGTCGTAACCATTGTTGGATATATGCCTCCTCAACATCAGAAAACGTAAATTGGTCGTAAATTGAAAGGGAATCGATTAAGCGCCGCATCTGAATATAATATTTGATCTCACTGTGGCGCTCATTTGAGGGGGGGGGGGG